ACCACAAAATAATTTTATCAAAAAAATGGCTATAAAGGTTAGCTGGTTTTAGATTTGTTTTTTATATGCCTTATTGAATAATTTTTCAAGCGTTTTACATTACAGATAGTGTTTTGTGAAAATTAAAAATATCGTGATTCCATTTACAAATAAATTCATAGGATCATAAAGATAAAATAACATTAGTTACAATTGTTTTAAACAAATAAGTTGAACAATCGTGAACCAAAACTTTTTTATTATTAATGGTTACTCACTTCTTTACTCACAATTTTTTTCTGAACAGTAAATAAAATAGTACAAAATATTATGTGGGTTATAATATGATAATTTGAAAAAGCCAGACGATAAACCATTTACGCTATCATGGCTGTGTGATTTGGCTTATCTAATTAAATATGTATGTGAACCAGAAAAAACAAAAATAATGTACGTAGTTACTTTAAAATTATTTTAATAATTTGTTAAAAAGAAATATCTAGAATCTATTTTTAAAAATTACAATTTAGGGCCCTATTCAGTAATTTATCGTTTATGGACGACATCACAAAGCATGTATCTTCTAGAGACCCCACGCCAATGTTAAACTTTTAAACCAAATTAGCGCCACCTTGTGTTTGGAGCTGGAACTAAAATGACAATTGACAGATGGCGGTAAATTCAAATTGTAATTTTTAGGAGTAGGTAGTAGTTTTAAATTAAATTTTAAATGATTTCCACATAAATTATTTTATAAAATAAAGTATGGAACTAGTAAGTTCGAAACTTTTATTTTACAAAATAATTTAGGTCGATTATACCAAATTTGAAGAATTAATTTGTTATAAGGGGTCTAATGTGGAGAGTTGGTTCTGCATATTTTTATTAAATAAATATAAGATAAATCAATAAATAATAAAATAGAACATTCTTAAAATATGTTTATTAATAACTTAAATAAATATTATTAGATAAAAATAAATACAAATAATAATACATATTTAACGAATACTTACTTGGAGCAAATAGATATATAATCTCAAATCTTTAAAATACCTATCAATAATTTAAATGTGAAGTAGAGACTAGGATATTACATTTTATTAACACCAAAGTTATATATTTTATAAATGTCTTTTTAACTGAGGACAAATGTAATATAGGTATTCTATTAAAAGGTGAATCCTTTTAACTATTCATTCAATGATAAATAGGTATTTTCCTTCCAAATACAGATGGTGGTATTACTCTCTTATGTGAAAAATGATTTCGGAATCTAGTCCAGTGATAAATTGATTATCAATTAGTTGTTGTACTCGTTTGTCTTTTTATGATGCAGATGCATGGTGAATATATGGTGAATCAATGAAGTTTTTCTCGAAGTTTTCAACGTAGCACCAAAATTATTGCAAAACACAGTAGGAAATAAAAAAGCGAAACATCACAATTTTGCAAATAACTAAGACGAAACTATAAACAGAAACCAAAAAATCAAAAAATCACTAAAATCAGACGGAAAAATGAAACTAACCAAGAACATAAATAAATACACGTCACATCTTTGGAGTCTTTGGTTGTTTTTCTCCCATAAGGCTTAAAAATGGAGTAAGAAATCATAATTTCACCAGTAGCCCCATCTAGAGTTTGGAGCAAATAGCATAAAAAATGTCAGTTGTCGGTTTTGACCTTGGTCATTCACGTGGAACCTCTATGTGCTTTGTGGACGACATCGTTAAGCTAACGACAGTTCAACCAACGACTTTTATAACGATAATTTTTGAAACTCTATTCAATAACAAAGTCGTTACGTTGTTTCTAGTTACCAAATCTGAACGATGATTTCTAGTAAGTTGGTATTATAATTTAGTGTTTTGTGATAAAAGAACGTATGTTGATGATTATAGCGGGCGTTTAAATTAAAGTTTTACAGTTAAATATCGCCAAAAATATGCATTTTATAAAAAAAAGCATCAGACAAAAGTTATATAGTTTTTTAGGGGAAACATTTTGGCTAAATTAGTTTTTTTTATAGCTGACCATAATATGGCCATATCGAGGTGGATTTTTTTTCAAATTGGAACCCTATTTTTTTACATAGGTATTCTTAGAGTTCATAAAAAAAAACAAGAAACTTCTAAAGGAAACATTTTTTTATTGGATTTCTACTTATTGAGTAACATCTACTTGAAAATTTTGCTGCGCGAAAAAAAGTTGGCCATATTATGGTTTGCTATAAAAAAACAATTTTAGCTAAAATGTTTTACCCAAAAAATTATTAAACTTTAATTTTTTTATAAAAGGCGGTATTTAACTGTAACCCTTTAATTTGAACACATGCTATATTTGACATTTTTTTTTGAACGTAAAATAAAAATTCTACCACACGATCAGGGGGTCGATTCTCGATTCGTAGGAATTCTGTTTCTCGCGGGCCATTTTTGCTGGTCATATTGTATGTAGGGTTTATTTAAATGAGTATGGATATATTAAAAAAAACAAAAAACAACTCGAGAACAGTTGCTGCGTTTGAGAATCCACATCGGATGCATTTTTTACATCTCGAGCGTTTTTTTATTCACATCGGACACATCTGTCCCATTACATTTACGTATACTGAGTCACGTGATCAAAGATTTTTTACATCTCAGATGCATCCGATGTGGATTCTCAAACGCGGCAAGTACAAGTTGTATTTATTGGATTTGAAAAACAAACCAAATTTGTGTAGGTTACGGAGAAGTATTATAGGTACTTCCATAATATAGGTTGTGTTACAGTTTCGCAGTGCTACTTTAGGAACATCACTGTTAATAAGAATCCAATAGTAAATGATTGAATGGGCAATCCTAACTTTGAATCAGATTTATTTTTAAAATTAAATAAATTAGAAAAAAATTCCTTACAAATTTTACTTGCTGTATTAGGTATATGGCAATTTAGTTGTAAAATTTGTAAAAAAGTGTTTTTATTATTTAGAACATATCCTGATTCACAATAAAAAATGAGAGGGAATGCAAAAATCACTATAACGACACTTCATATTATTAACGACAGCTCTTTGGCTATCGTTGATGAACGACAATTTTACAACCATGTTTGTCTATTTTCAACGACAATCGTTGCCTACTGAATAAGAAAAGTCGTCTGTGAACGATTATCGTCTATTAACGACGTCGTTCAGAGTTACTGAATAGGCCCCTAAATCATCAAATCGACTTTACTATTAAAATGGACATCAATCAAAATATAAATTAGACGTCTGACTTATTTGAGAGCTTATGTGGAAAGTAGATTCATATTCACACAAGTGTGGAAAGTAAATTTATTCACACGCGTGTGATATAAGGCACTTCCCATATGACATTAACAATGTGATTTTAAGACCCAACTTAACAAATTAAGGGGCCTATTCAGTAACTCTGAACGACGTCGTTAATAGACGATAATCGTTCACAGACGACTTTTCTTATTCAGTAGACAACGATTGTCGTTGAAAATAAACAAATATGGTTGTAAAATTGTCGTTCATCAACGATAGCTAAAGAGCTGTCGTTAATAATATGAAGTGTCGTTATAGAGATTTTTACATTCCCTCTCATTTTTTATTGTGAATCAGGATGTGTTCTAAATAATAAAAGCACTTTTTTACAAATTTTACAACTAAATTGCCATCTACCTAATACGTACAATTTGTAAGGAATTTTTTTCTAATTTATTTAATTATTTTAAAAATAAATCTGATTCAAAGTTATAGGATTGCCCATTCAATCACTATTGGATTCTTATTAAAACAGTGATGTTCCTAAAGTAGCACTACGAAACAGTAACAAAACCTATTTTATGGAAATTATACCTAAATAATACTTCTCCGTAACCTACACAGGAAACGAGGCTTATGGCCTGAGTTGTCGAAGCCGATGACATAAACAGAAAAGATAATCAGGAAAAAGGATATCAAATTTGGCTTGTCTTTTAAATCCAATAAATACAACTTGTACTCTTCTCGAGTTGTTTTTTTTTGTATTCTTTTGGAATAATTCTCGTTTTTTTTTAATATATCCATACTCATTTAAATAAACCCTACATACAATACGACCAGCAAAAATGGCCCGCGAGAAACAGAATTCCTACGAATCGAGAATCGACCCCCTCATCGTGTTGTAGGTTAAGAACAATAATTAATATATTCTGAAAAAAATGAATATATCACTGATAGAATTTTTATTTTACGTTCCAAAAAAATGTCAAATATACCGGGTGTTCAAATTAAAGGGTTACAGTTAAATACCGCCTTTTATAAAAAAAAAACAAAGTTTTATAGTTTTTTGGGGAAAACATTTTGGCTAAAATTGTTTTTTTTTATAGCAAACCATAATATGGCCAACTTTTTTTCGCGCAGCAAAATTTTCAAGTAGGTGTTACTCAATAAGTAGAAATCCAATAAAAAAAATGTTTCCTTTAGAAGTTTCCTATTTTTTTATGAACTCTAAGAATACCTATGTAAAAAAATAGGGTTCCAATTTGAAAAAAAAATCCACCTCGATATGGCCATATTATGGTCAGCTATAAAAAAATTAATTTAGCCAAAATGTTTCCCCTAAAAAACTATAAAACTTTTGTCTGGTACTTTTTTTTTATAAAATGCATATTTTTGGCGATACTTAACTGTGAAACTTTAATTTAAACACCCGGTATAATCATCAACATACGTTCTTTTATCACAAAACACTAAATTATAATACCAACTTACTAGAAATCATCGTTCAGAGTTCAGATTTGGTAACTAGAAACAACGTAACGACTTTGTTATTGAATAGAGTTTCAAAAATTATCGTTATAAAAGTCGTTGGTTGAACTGTCGTTAGCTTAACGATGTCGTCCATAAACGATAAATTACTGAATAGGGCCCTTATCTGAATTTGATTTCGGAGCACGATGAAATAATAATTGTCATCCATCGTGTTTCGGAGTGAAATTCTCGAACACATTAGTTGATATTTGGCATGTGTCAGTGTCATTACCATTACCGAAATGTCAATGTCAATTGCCAACAAAATTTCAGATGATTAATAAATGTTAACGACCCTAGAATTAGAATAAATAAATATTTTTTTCTATGGTACTTGGCAAATGTGGACAATAAAATGACGGTAGCAGATTTCTTTGGATGTACATTTTTGGCCTTCGGGCCCCCCTTTGCAATGTTTGTATTTACAATTGCTCATGATCCAATAAGGATCATTATATTGATAGCTGCAGCCTTCTTTTGGTTAGTATCTTTGCTATTGTCCTCTACAATTTGGTTTGCTTTGGTGCCTATAAGAAACTACCTCGAGTTTGCAATATTTTATACAGTTATATTTCAAGAAGTCTTCAGGTTTGTTATTTATAAAATCTTAAGAAAGGCCCAGAATGGTTTGAAGAAAATAACAGATAACAGTGCAACTTTTATTGAAAACAAGCATATTCTGGCTTATGTTAGTGGATTGGGATTTGGAATAATGAGTGGAGCCTTTTCAGTGATAAACATATTGGCTGATTCAGTAGGACCAGGCACTATGGGACTCAAATCTGGGAATGAGATGTTTTTCCTTACTAGTTCTTGCATAAGCCTTTGCTTTATTCTGTTAAATACTTTTTGGAGTGTGATATTTTTTAATGCATGTGATAACAGAAATCTGATCCATTCAGGTTTTGTTGTTTGTTCTCATTTATTAGCATCTTATTTGACACTATTAAACGGTGTTAGTAGTTGGGGGTGTATAGTCCCTCTATATTTAATTTTAATTTTTACTGGATGCTTAGCTTTTAAGGTAGTAGGTGGGTCAATAGCTTCCATTAAAAGTTGTCTAAGCTTTAAGTAAAAGTAGGTGAAACTATGATATTTATATTATTAACACATTCGCTGCATATTTGCTTGCGATATAATTCTTACCCTATATGCTGACTAAATAGAATGCAAATGAATAGTATTAGTCAAATTATGCGCACAAGTGTGGTCGGCGACCAACGATATCAAAATACTTACTAGCGTGTGCATCTGCAGCGAATGGGTTAATTATATCGTAATTCTGACTTATTTATTTTCTATTTTTTATAAGACTTAAGATATAGTACCTAATTAATTACCTTTAATATTTATAATGTTCATATTAAATGCTTTTTATACATAATAAATATGATTTTTAATAAATGTGGTAAATATTAAAAATTTTTGGCAAAAGAGATTACACCTGTTTTGTTTAAATAATAAATAAGACAATAACATCTAATAATTTATTTTTTTACTCCTATTCCTATTTTAATAAAGAATAGTCAGTGTGTCAATGACACATTAAGATATGTAGGTAGGTAATATAAAAAAAAAATATAAAGATTTTTGAATTTATAATATATTGCCATGAATTGTTCATTTTACAGTATTTTTTCTTTAGAATTTTATAGAAAAGTTTTAAGATACTAGTATAAAGTATTTTGCTTGTTTAGGTATCACAAAAAAGGTATTCTGTATAACTATTACAATAAAAATAAAATCGAATATTGGAAATGTATCTATATTTCTACCTATATATTCAATTCTTCCTTATTTAAAAATCATCAATTACTATAATTGATACATTATTAAATATCACATCCAAGTTGATAATGCTGGTGATTTTCGGATTAAAATAATCCTCAATGGTGACATTTTTTAATCCTCCAAAGTAATCTAGTACTTCAATGTGTTCAATATCTACTTTGGCTACGTAAAATTGATGATCTAAAAAATAAATAGTTATCTATAAATATTTTGTTCCAAAGTTCTGAGAAAATAAGTTACCAACAGGCCAATTTTTCATAGATGGGTGCTTGTCGAAAAGTGCGTGTTTACCAAAAGCATACTCTGGGGAAGACTCTTTGATCTAAAAATTAATAAAACATATTGACCACAGTATATAACTAGAATATTTATTTCTATATTACACTCTTCGTAGTTTAAGAGACCCTCGTTAACTCTCATTTTTAATCTGGTATTTTTTTAGAATTAAGTAGGCTTCATCCCCTTATATAGAGCTTGATTTATACTAAAAATTTCATGTTGGTTTTGATTTATAATTTTTTTAAAGTACAACCTCTCTAACTCCCTCATTTTTATTCATAGACTTCGCCCCCTTATATATAGCTTGAATTTTGCTAAACATTTCAAGTTGGCTATCATTTTTCGTTTTTTCAGAGTTTTTAAAAATATTTCAAATTCCCTTAAATCCCCCTTTTTATTTAGTTTTTTTTTTTTGTAAAATCTTTAGGCTTCGTCCCCATATAGAGCTTGATTTTTCCTGAAAATTTCAAGATGTTTAAAATTTAATGAGAACGATTTTGGTTTTAGTTTTTCGAAAGTAAACCTACAATACTCTTAACAGAGCATAATTTTAAATTGTAGGTATCTTAATCTTAGACTAGGTATAAAGAGAGGACTCGTAACGTCGCAGGAGAGGATTCGTAACGTCGCAGGAAAGCGTGTTCCATTCTGACATCAGTGATAGTTGACCAGAGGCGTAAAATGTTGGAAATAAAACAATGAACTTTTTTTATGTTTATTAGTACTTTATTGTTCTTTTTAGGTACAAAGCAAGTTCCAAGAATCATTAAATTATTAAAAAAATGTATGGGATATTTGCAATTTGAAGTTTATAATTACAGTAAAATGTTTTATTTAATTACTGCGTTAATTTAAATGGAACACCCTGTATTTTATGGTACCAATATTAAGGAAATTTTATTTACGTTAAAAGTTCTATTATGTTCCCTATATACTATTTTTAACAGACTTCAAAAAAGGAGGAGGTTCTCAATTCATCGGAATATATATTTTTTGTGTATATATGTTCAGCGATAATTCCTTTTTTTTTTGTTAGTGGTGGTCCCATATAAATTTGATCAAAATCTAATAATTGGGCCCATGAGAAAATCCTCAAACTCTTTATTCTTTATGTATGTTTAGCGATAATTCTTTACTACCTCGTCCGATTTGTATGATTCTTTTTTTGTGGTAAGGGGGATACCTCAGGGGTGGTCCCATATAAATCACAGAAATATAAATTTGGTCAAGATGTGGTGCGACATCTGCAGGATTTTGAAGTCGGTTTTTAAAATTACTTTTAATACTTGTTAAAATTATTATCAATAGTTTCAGTGAATCAATAAATTTCATACATCTGTTAATAGTTTTATTTTAACAAAGCTATTAAATACACATAGGTATTTATTCCAAAATTTGTCAGTAAATTTAAAATTTCCAATTAATGTTCAAAATGATGTCCATTATTGTCAATGCACATTCTGATGCGCTTTTCAAAATTATTTTTTACATTACTTAAAATCTTTAAATTATAATATTAGCAAACGCATCACGAATACGTGTTTTATAGAGTTTGATAAACTACATTTTTAACAAATCCCCAAAAGAAAAATCTTGAGTGGTTAGTTGAGTGATCTAGGGGGCAGATGGGGGGCAGGGTAGGGCGATCCGGGCGGCCGCCCGGAGCGGAATGATCTAGGGGCGCCAAAATCATGGAAAATGAAAATAAACTGATAAAAAAATTAAATTATAGGCTTTTATAAAATGCACTAAAAAGTAAAGAATATTTTTTTATCATTCTGATATCATATCAATAAATTATTTTTCATAATATTGCATCGTCATCGGACCCTTGTAAGTATACCAAATTTCATTGAAATCGGTTCACGGGAATTTTCTCAAAAACGCGTTGCAAGATTTGACTGATAGTTGACAAGATTAAGAGGCGGCGGCGGCGGAATTTATCATTTTTATTTCTAAGCACATAATTCAAATAATATATTTTTAAACATTAAGGCAAAATCTAGTTGAATTCAATTCAACATGACAAAACCACTCAACCACCGCCTTTCAAGAATTGACAAGTTTTTCGGCCCGTGGAAACACGACTGTACAGGAAACAACAATTTTGAAACCAAGCGAAACAAGATCTAACAGCCCTTTTGCCATTAGACTTCGGCTGGTGCGAAATAAAATAGTTTGTTTAAATTGTTAGTGCAAAAAAGCTTTAAAAAAGTGCTTGTGCATATTGTCCAGTGCGTTTGGCTTCTGTGAAGTGTTTTAATTTTTGTTTTAATTTTTAAAAACTAAAAAAATCCATCAGACATAAGCCCAAAAAAGGGTGGGGGGTAGATTTCAAAAATTAGAGTTTAGATCAAAACATGGCTTGTGTGGTATTAAATGAAAGTTGATTGTACCTGCAGTTGAATAAAATTTATTTTATTTTTTAAGCCAGTGGCGCACAAGTGGGGGATTTCAAAAATTAGAGTTTACATCAAAAAATGGCTTGTGTGGTATCAAATAAAAGTTGATTGAACCTGCAGTTGAATAAAATTTATTTTATTTTTTAAGCCAGTGGCGCACAAGGGGGATTTCAAAAATTAGAGTTTACATCAAAAAATGGCTTGTGTGGTATCAATTGAAAGGTAATTGAGTCTGGAGTTGAATAAAATTCATTTTATTTTTTTAAGCCAGTGGTGCAGGATGGGGATTTCAAAAATTAGAGTTTATATCAAAAAATGGCTTGTGTGGTATCAAATGAAAGGTAATTGAGTCTGGAGTTGAATGAAATACATTTTTTTTAAGTCAGTGACGCATAAGGGGGATTTCGAAAATTAGAGTTTAAATCAAATCATGGCTTGTGTGGTATCGAATGAAAGGTAATTGAGTCTGAAGTTGAATAAAATACATTTTTTTAAGCCAGTGGCACACAAAGGGGGATTTCAGAAATTATAATTTAAATCAAATCATGGCTTTTTTTGATATCAGTATTATCTTTTATTTTAATTAATTTGTTCCAAAAACCAAAATGTCCGATGTTAAGAGAAAACCCTCTGGGAGCGAATTTAAAAAGCGGAGATTGAACAAGCAAACACAGCTTCAAAACCAGTCAGATGCACTGCAAAACTTCTTGAAAGAAGGTAGTTTCAAGGCTCCCACAACCGACCAATAGTTGAACAACGCCCAGCACCTAGATACTGACTTTCCGGATATGGACCCCCCTTTGGACGCAACCGTCAGCATTACTGAGCTGGGTAAGTCATCTCAAACGAGTTTGGCGAGTAGTACTGCAGTTCCGCGCAGTTCCAAAAATCAAAATTCGCAAGTTGTTCAGACCTCAGAGAAACATTTAGAAAAGGCTACCGTCCAAAGTATCTCTTCTAAATCACTGGTCTGAAGTTCTTTTACGCATTATATCAGTCGTTAAAATGCTAGGGGAGAGCTCTCTAGTTTTTCGAGGAATAAGCGATAAACTGTATGAACACAATAATGGAAACTTTTTGAAGTTAATTCAGTTATTGGCTGAGTTTGGTCCAAAAATGGAGGAACACGTTCGCAGAGTCCTCAATAAAGAATAAATCAAAGCTACATATCTAGGGAAAACTATACAAAATGAAATAATTGAATTATTGCATGACAACATAAAGCACCACATCATTGAGCAAGTTCAAAAGGCCAAGTATAATTCCGTGATTCTTGACTGTACTCCCGATGCAAGTAAAGTAGAACAGATGAACATTTGCGGTAAGATTTGTCTCCACACAGAAATCAGAGTCTGAAGTTCAAGTTAATATCAACGAACATTTTTTGGATTTTCTACCCATTGAGCGATCAACAGCTAAGGAATTGTCGGAGGTTTAGCTAGAAGAGCTAGAGAAAAATAGGCTTAAAGTAGAAAACATGCGCGGTCAAGGGTATGACAATGGTTCCAATATGAGAGGAGAAAAATCGGGAGTACAAACAAGAATCAGAAATATAAACCCCAGAGCATTTTATGTTCCATGCAGCAGCCATTCGCTAAATTTGGTTGTAAACGATATGGCAAAATCCTCGTTTGAGGCAGCCAACTTCAATATTGCTCAAAAGTTATATACATTTTTTTCTTCCTCTTCTTTTCGTTTGGCAATATTACTGAAATATATTGATACTTACATCCTAAAACCATTAAGTGATACGTGATGGGAAAGTCGAGTCGACTCATTAAAAGCTCTGCGGTTTCAAATTAGTCCAATTCATGATGCTTTGTACAGCATATATGAAGATTTAGAAATCGATAATATTATCAGAGACGAGGCAAGCGGATTATTAAATAATTTGAAGCAGTTCAAATTTATATGCTCTGTTGTGATCTGGTACAAAATTTTGATTCATATTAACCTCATCAGCAAACTTTTGCAAACTGTAAATTTTAATATGTCACAAGCTATTGATATGCTTAGGAACTGCAAACTCTTCTTTGAAAACCTGAGATCAGATGAAGCTTTTGAAAGCATCATTTTAGAAGCAACCGAGCTTGCTCCAGAGATTGACGTGGAAGCTAATTTCGAAACCAACACACCACGTCATCGTGTCAGAAGCAAAACAAGAACGTTTTTGTATGTTGAACAAATCAAGGGTAAATATTAGTCCTATTATAGAGTAAAATGGATTGTTCTAGAGGTAAAACATTTTTCAGTTGAAAAAATGTTAATTTTGCGGCTTAAGAGGTCCTGCCGTCTCTACCCAGTCACAATTATTTTTGTATCTAATGAAATTGTATACTTCCAACCATTGGACTTCAAAACTGACGGACATTAGGTATACATCATAAGTAAGTACCAATAAAATAAGGACGTAAAGTACGTCTAGAATATGTACTCTATTGGAATAAGTACAAACATACTACGTACATTAAGTACGATATATTATGGTACGTACGGAGTACGTACTTTAAGTACGTACACAGTACGTACATTAAATACGTATTACGTACGTACCATCGTTTGGAAAATGTACGTATTATATACGTACTTTGGACAGTAAAGTACGTACTTTACATCCCATCAGTACGTACATAGTACGTCTTATATATGGAGGTGAATTGGCCGAAACCGTTCGAAATTTATTCCCTCTCCTCTTATAAGTGTCCGCTTTTAAGTACCGAGTAAAGTCGACCAATAAGACAACGATAAAATAATTGCAGACCAGTCACAATCATTTTTATTCCCGAAATTTTAATTTTCAAATTACGGAACCATAATATATAAAGTATCCTAATAACGTTTTTAGGTACCTACCTACAATGACAAATACATAAAAACTATAGGTAGACTTACTTTGATTAATTTTCCTATTATAAGAACTTTTGCACATCGGGGATCTTGTGGATCAAAGTTTTCAGTTTCACAATAACTAGTTTCAGCTAGGGTTGCCATTATTGTTATTTTATTGTTGGTCTGTAAAAGAGAAAACTGTTACATGGATTTCGAAGCTAGAAATTTCTAAAAAGATATATCTTTACTAGGTACATGACTTTTGTTGGTATATCTTTTTAAAAATATACGCAAAACAGGAGCACAAAATACTCACTCCAACAGAAAGCAGGAGTACCTTCAATACCTAGCACGAGGGAGCGTCCTTGGTCCTGTTTTGTACCTATACTATACAGCACATTTACCAACTCATCAAGGTCCGATTCCACCGTTGTGTTAAACGAAGTTTAAAATGACATTTTTACATTAACAATGTCATTTTAATCTCCGTTTAACACAACGGTGGAATCGGTCCTTGATGAGTTGGTAAATGTGCTGTATAGTATAGGTACAAAATAGGCAAATACCTATTTATCATATTGAATGAATAGTTAAAAGGATTCACCTTTTAATACAATACCTATATTACATTTGTCCTCGGTTTAAAAGACATTTATAAAATATATTATTTTAGTGTTAATAAAATGTAATATCCTAGTCTCTACTTCACATTTAAATTATTGATAGGTATTTTAAAGATTTGAGATTGTATACCTATTTGCTGCAAGTAAGTATTCGTTAAATATGTATTATTATTTGTATTTATTTTTATCTAATAATATTTATTTAAGTTATTAATAAACATATTTTAAGAATGTTCTATTTTATTATTTATTGATATATCTTATATTTATTTAATAATAATATGCAGAACCAACTCTCCACATCAGACCCCTGCTTATAACAAATTAATTCCTCAAATTTGGTATAATCGACCTAAATTATTTTGTAAAATAAAAGTTTCGAACTTACTAGTTCCATACTTTATTTTATAAAATAATTTATGTGGAAATCATTTAAAATTTAATTTAAAACTACTACCTACTCCCAAAAATTACAATTTGAATTTACCGCCATCTGTCAATTGTCATTTTAGTTACAGCTCCAAACACAAGGTGGCGCTAATTTGGTTTAAAAGTTTAACATTGGCGTGGGGTCTCTAGAAGATACGTGCTTTGTGGTATACATACCTATCTACCATGAAGATCAATGTCAAAGCTGTTACGTGTGTTAATGACATTGCTCATATATTGATCATGATGACTACCTTATTTTCTTCAAATTACCGTCAATTAGGTATTGTTTAGTTGTAAAAATAGAGAATTTGTCAGATAAAGAAGGAAAAGGCCAACTTAATTAAAAAATCAGTAGTGCAGTTCTCTACTCTATTGTTATTAACTTACTTTAACATCTTTACCAGACACGTCCATTTCAGTCATATAAAGATACGGGACACCAGTGGAATTATGTTTAGTACCATCACTAAGGGATTTTAAAGTTACAAATGGATAACCAATAATTTTGCTTTGAGTAGAAATTGTTGCAAATGAAACCCAACCTAAAAAATAGAACAATGTTGTTATTAAATCTTTAAACATCACAGTTAATATTTACAATTTTTTATTAGGTACGTAGGTATCCTATTAGAAATAGTTAATTACTTTACTACTTTTCGTAGTAGGTACTAATGCAGTGTCCACAGGTGTAGTTTATCTGGAACAAGGAGGGCCAAGTACCCTCCGAGATCTTGACTACAGTGTTTAAATCAGAAAAAAATTAATAAAAGAATTTCTGGATCTAGAATTGTATTTTCAGTTTATAATCATTACAATATGGAAACAAAAACGATAAAATCTAGATTTTTGAACCTTTCTGGTAAATCATGTAACGACGGACATGGCAATCCCAAACATTATTATCGGGTCGGTGGTGTAGCGGTCTAACGCGCTTATATTCATTTATAGGCAAGTTTATGAGTCAGAGACTGCTGGGCTTCGAATCCCAGACCAGACCATGTGGATTTTTAATTAAATTGCATGGTTTGGTTTAGGATTTGATGTGTGCCGTATTAATAGAAATTCAATTTCTGTTGATATGACATGCAGATTATAAAATCGCCATGCATTACCGTTTCGATGATGGTGAGTGAGGTTTTCCGGGTTTTCCTCACCTGTAAGTCAAATGGCACCATCAATCATATTTAAGTCGCCCCGGAGCGCCACGGCAAATATTAATAATAGCCGTCCCTTTCCCCGCACAAGCTCAGCTTTTGGGGTTAAAATTCACTCGTAAGGGGGTGAATTAGGGAGAGTATTATTATTATAGTCCAAACAATTTCTTCTTACTCCTGTAAGAGGTAAGCATACAATAGTTGAAATTTTGGTGGAGGAACAAGTCATCGTAGAAGAATTTTAAATTATTGTATTATAAGTTAGCTAGGAACTAGGCTATTGCCCTTAAAGTAGAGGATACACCGAAAATATAGTCTAAACAATTTCTTATAAATCTGTATAGGCCAGAGTACCTACCAGAGATAACAGGAGCTATTCATTGATAAAATATAATATTTATGTTGCCAACATCAAGTTGGAGATGACGAGTGGAGAGACGTGTGATAAGAGGTAAGAGAGGAGATAAACAGAAGGATTTTACGGCCATACATTTTTTTAAATCAATGTATGTGTAAGCGCTTGCAGAACATGCCAGCTCGTGCAAGCCCTGCTGCCACATCTAGTACCAAATACTTGATATCCAACTTAACATTAACTAGGTTTCGAAGTTTATTGAAAATTATCTCATCTAATTTAGTGAAATTAGATATAATTTAGTTAAATTTGATATAATTAATGATTGAAACATTTTTGGGTTCAATTGCAATAAAAAATGTAAAATAATTTTAGCTTTTTTACTTGCCTCAAACAGAAGGAAGTATTGTAATAATGAAAAAATCACCCTCTGAGATTCTTTCAAATTTTCACTTTTCAGGGTGCCTAGATTGCGAAAAATATATTTCCACATTTCGTTGGTCTGTCTGTCGTCTGTGGTCTGTCGTCTGTGGTCTGTCGTCTGTCGTCTGTCTTCTGTCTTCTGTCGTCTGTCGTCTGTCGTCTGTCGTCTGTCGTCTGTCGTCTGTCGTCTGTCGTCTGTCGTCTGTCGTCTGTCTTCTGTCTTCTGTCGTCTGTCGTCTGTCGTCTGTCGTCTGTCGTCTGTCGTCTGTCGTCTGTCTTCTGTCTTCTGTCGTCTGTCGTCTGTCGTCTGTCGTCTGTCGTCTGTCGTCTGTCGTCTGTCGTCTGTCGTCTGTCGTCTGTCGTCTGTCGTCTGTCGTCTGTCGTCTGTCGTCTGTCGTCTGTCGTCTGTCGTCTGTCGTCTGTCGTCTGTCGTCTGTCGTCTGTCTTCTGTCGTCTGTCGTCTGTCGTCTGTCGTCTGTCGTCTGTCGTCTGTAGTCTGTCGTCTGTCTTCTGTCGTCTGTCGTCTGTCGTCTGTCGTCTGTCGTCTGTCGTCTGTCGTCTGTCGTCTGTCGTCTGTCGTCTGTCGTCTGTCGTCTGTCGTCTGTCGTCTGTCGTCTGTCGTCTGTCGTCTGTCGTCTGTCGTCTGTCGTCTGTCGTCTGTCGTCTGTCGTCTGTCGTCTGTCGTCTGTCGTCTGTCGTCTGTCGTCTGTCGTCTGTCGTCTGTCGTCTGTCGTCTGTCGTCTGTCGTCTGTCGTCTGTCGTCTGTCGTCTGTCGTCTGTCGTCTGTCGTCTGTCGTCTGTCGTCTGTCGTCTGTCGTCTGTCGTCTGTCGTCTGTCGTCTGTCGTCTGTCGTCTGTCGTCTGTCGTCTGTCGTCTGTCGTCTGTCGTCTGTCGTCTGTCGTCTGTCGTCTGTCGTCTGTCGTCTGTCGTCTGTCGTCTGTCGTCTGTCGTCTGTCGTCTGTCGTCTGTCGTCTGTCGTCTGTCGTCTGTCGTCTGTCGTCTGTCGTCTGTCGTCTGTCGTCTGTCGTCTGTCGTCTGTCGTCTGTCGTCTGTCGTCTGTCGTCTGTCGTCTGTCGTCTGTCGTCTGTCGTCTGTCGTCTGTCGTCTGTCGTCTGTCGTCTGTCGTCTGTCGTCTGTCGTCTGTCGTCTGTCGTCTGTCGTCTGTCGTCTGTCGTCTGTCGTCTGTCGTCTGTCGTCTGTCGTCTGTCGTCTGTCGTCTGTCGTCTGTCGTCTGTCGTCTGTCGTCTGTCGTCTGTCGTCTGTCGTCTGTCGTCTGTCGTCTGTCGTCTGTCGTCTGTCGTCTGTCGTCTGTCGTCTGTCGTCTGTCGTCTGTCGTCTGTCGTCTGTCGTCTGTCGTCTGTCGTCTGTCGTCTGTCGTCTGTCGTCTGTCGTCTGTCGTCTGTCGTCTGTCGTCTGTCGTCTGTCGTCTGTCGTCTGTCGTCTGTCGTCTGTCGTCTGTCGTCTGTCGTCTGTCGTCTGTCGTCTGTCGTCTGTCGTCTGTCGTCTGTCGTCTGTCGTCTGTCGTCTGTCGTCTGTCGTCTGTCGTCTGTCGTCTGTCGTCTGTCGTCTGTCGTCTGTCGTCTGTCGTCTGTCGTCTGTCGTCTGTCGTCTGTCGTCTGTCGTCTGTCGTCTGTCGTCTGTCGTCTGTCGTCTGTCGTCTGTCGTCTGTCGTCTGTCGTCTGTCGTCTGTCGTCTGTCGTCTGTCGTCTGTCGTCTGTCGTCTGTCGTCTGTCGTCTGTCGTCTGTCGTCTGTCGTCTGTCGTCTGTCGTCTGTCGTCTGTCGTCTGTCGTCTGTCGTCTGTCGTCTGTCGTCTGTCGTCTGTCGTCTGTCGTCTGTCGTCTGTCGTCTGTCGTCTGTCGTCTGTCGTCTGTCGTCTGTCGTCTGTCGTCTGTCGTCTGTCGTCTGTCGTCTGTCGTCTGTCGTCTGTCGTCTGTCGTCTGTCGTCTGTCGTCTGTCGTCTGTCGTCTGTCGTCTGTCGTCTGTCGTCTGTCGTCTGTCGTCTGTCGTCTGTCGTCTGTCGTCTGTCGTCTGTCGTCTGTCGTCTGTCGTCTGTCGTCTGTCGTCTGTCGTCTGTCGTCTGTCGTCTGTCGTCTGTCGTCTGTCGTCTGTCGTCTGTCGTCTGTCGTCTGTCGTCTGTCGTCTGTCGTCTGTCGTCTGTCGTCTGTCGTCTGTCGTCTGTCGTCTGTCGTCTGTCGTCTGTCGTCTGTCGTCTGTCGTCTGTCGTCTGTCGTCTGTCGTCTGTCGTCTGTCGTCTGTCGTCTGTCGTCTGTCGTCTGTCGTCTGTCGTCTGTCGTCTGTCGTCTGTCGTCTGTCGTCTGTCGTCTGTCGTCTGTCGTCTGTCGTCTGTCGTCTGTCGTCTGTCGTCTGTCGTCTGTCGTCTGTCGTCTGTCGTCTGTCGTCTGTCGTCTGTCGTCTGTCGTCTGTCGTCTGTCGTCTGTCGTCTGTCGTCTGTCGTCTGTCGTCTGTCGTCTGTCGTCTGTCGTCTGTCGTCTGTCGTCTGTCGTCTGTCGTCTGTCGTCTGTCGTCTGTCGTCTGTCGTCTGTCGTCTGTCGTCTGTCGTCTGTCGTCTGTCGTCTGTCGTCTGTCGTCTGTCGTCTGTCGTCTGTCGTCTGTCGTCTGTCGTCTGTCGTCTGTCGTCTGTCGTCTGTCGTCTGTCGTCTGTCGTCTGTCGTCTGTCGTCTGTCGTCTGTCGTCTGTCGTCTGTCGTCTGTCGTCTGTCGTCTGTCGTCTGTCGTCTGTCGTCTGTCGTCTGTCGTCTGTCGTCTGTCGTCTGTCGTCTGTCGTCTGTCGTCTGTCGTCTGTCGTCTGTCGTCTGTCGTCTGTCGTCTGTCGTCTGTCGTCTGTCGTCTGTCGTCTGTCGTCTGTCGTCTGTCGTCTGTCGTCTGTCGTCTGTCGTCTGTCGTCTGTCGTCTGTCGTCTGTCGTCTGTCGTCTGTCGTCTGTCGTCTGTCGTCTGTCGTCTGTCGTCTGTCGTCTGTCGTCTGTCGTCTGTCGTCTGTCGTCTGTCGTCTGTCGTCTGTCGTCTGTCGTCTGTCGTCTGTCGTCTGTCGTCTGTCGTCTGTCGTCTGTCGTCTGTCGTCTGTCGTCTGTCGTCTGTCGTCTGTCGTCTGTCGTCTGTCGTCTGTCGTCTGTCGTCTGTCGTCTGTCGTCTGTCGTCTGTCGTCTGTCGTCTGTCGTCTGTCGTCTGTCGTCTGTCGTCTGTCGTCTGTCGTCTGTCGTCTGTCGTCTGTCGTCTGTCGTCTGTCGTCTGTCGTCTGTCGTCTGTCGTCTGTCGTCTGTCGTCTGTCGTCTGTCGTCTGTCGTCTGTCGTCTGTCGTCTGTCGTCTGTCGTCTGTCGTCTGTCGTCTGTCGTCTGTCGTCTGTCGTCTGTCGTCTGTCGTCTGTCGTCTGTCGTCTGTCGTCTGTCGTCTGTCGTCTGTCGTCTGTCGTCTGTCGTCTGTCGTCTGTCGTCTGTCGTCTGTCGTCTGTCGTCTGTCGTCTGTCGTCTGTCGTCTGTCGTCTGTCGTCTGTCGTCTGTCGTCTGTCGTCTGTCGTCTGTCGTCTGTCGTCTGTCGTCTGTCGTCTGTCGTCTGTCGTCTGTCGTCTGTCGTCTGTCGTCTGTCGTCTGTCGTCTGTCGTCTGTCGTCTGTCGTCTGTCGTCTGTCGTCTGTCGTCTGTCGTCTGTCGTCTGTCGTCTGTCGTCTGTCGTCTGTCGTCTGTCGTCTGTCGTCTGTCGTCTGTCGTCTGTCGTCTGTCGTCTGTCGTCTGTCGTCTGTCGTCTGTCGTCTGTCGTCTGT